GCTTCACTGAGTTACGCAAGCCCCTTCGCCACGACAAGGCAGTGATCCATGAAGGGGTTTGTAACCATAGAGTAAGATAATTTTGTAATTATACTTGTATTTGCTGCAAAGGAAATTGGAAGCTGCTTCTTTCTATTTTTTTTATCTTTTCTTTTTGCACCTTTATCCTTTCCTTCCTTTCTTTTTTTCCCTTTCTTTTCTTCCTTTACTTTGTATTAGTTTTTGTTAGTTTTGATCTTCTTTTTAAAACTTTTAATAACATTTAAAAAAAAAGGATGGAGTGCTATTTTTTCAAAGGCCCCCTCGCCTGATGTTTACAGAGCACTGTAATGTTCTGCCAGCCCTCTTTTTCCCTCATGATTACACAACATTGGCTTTAGCTCATCCCCAACCCATGACTTACGGAGTCTTATGCTACTTAAGATGCAGAATTAAAAATAGGCTCTTCCCAATTCCTGTTCCACCACAGCTGTAAAGTGTACAACAAAATAACCCTTGCCAGCCATTATCTTGGAGGTAAGGTCAAGTGAGGGAGTGAGTAGAGGTACGTTTGAGTAGTGCGAAGAGGTGTAGGTGTGCTTCTTCCTCTCTGCTCACTAGCTGGTCTCCACTGCTGATATTTCTGTCCCGGCTCTCTCGGTTTCCTGAGTTCTTCTCGTAACTGTCATCACCCTGCCAGAACTTTCTGTACTTACCTCTAGAACACCAAATATTTATTTTTCCCTGACCAAAACCAAGGACTTTCCTCAAGGTTTATGTTCTTTCTTTATTTCCTCTTCTTGCTGTGAGGAAACAAAGAAAAACATGCTATCTGCATGAAGGTGTAGGACTATCTTTGTTCTTATATCCCTTTCATGAAGGAAAAGGTTTTTCATATATTCTCTGTAGGTAATCTTGTATATGCCCAAGGGATAGCGAAGTCGGACTGTGGTCTCATCGTAAAACAGACCTAAACAAATTCATTACATGTAATTTCTATGCAGCTTTCCCAATAGATCTATAATTCTATTAAGTCAGCTTTGCATTAAGGTATTGTAACGTGTTTATTGCTGCCAAAGTACAGAAGGTGAAACCTTTTCTGCTGTAAAACTCTGTACTCAAGCCTCATTTTCACAAGAAAATACTTTGCTAAACTTTAGGCCCTGAAATCATGTGAAAGGAGATGAAGTTATCACATGTGACATTCTGATATAATGTTTTTGTGCTGTTGTAGAAGAACATGTGAATTATTTTCATCCAGTATAAGTGGATTCAGATGTTCATTTCTCATGGTCTCATAAAATCTACAGAAAAGAAAAAATAACACTGAGATTGTCCTGAGAATGCTTGTTCTCGCTAGAAAAGGGCAGAGTCCCAACAGCTTGAAATAAGATGCTAGAAGAGAAGGGAAAGATTCAGGTTTAAATAAGCTTTATTTATTTTACTTATTTACTATATTTCTATCCTGCCTTCCCTCCAAGGAGCTTCAAAGGATATTCAAAGCTCCTTCTTGTCCACTGTAACCTCATAACAATCCTGCAAGGTAGGCTAAGTCAAAAATAGTAATGCAGTCTTGGCCGCCCAGTCAGCTTCATGCTTGAGGGGCATTTTCAGGCAGGGCCTCCGCAAATCTAGTCCCAAACCTGCAGCCACCACACTTCTGCTTCACAGGAAAAACTTCCAAATCAGTAGCAAAGTGTTGCAGAGTCTAGCAAGAATCGTGAGGTATCTTAAATTTGTTCGCTTTTCAGATGCCACGAATCTCTCATTTTATATATTGTAATGAATAGAGTGGACAGTCAAACAAGTTCATATGCTGCCTTGAATAAATGGTAATCTGGTCATCCCTTCTCCTAAGTTATGTCAAAAGGCCTTGGTAAAAAATAAAATCAAATCAAAGGCAGCCTAGGTTCAGCAATTTATCAAATTAAAATTTGAATGCATTATGAAACTGTCCACTAGAGGGCATGGGTTACTTTTAAAAGGCTCAAAGAATTCAAGTTCTAGTTAGGATGGAAATTTTTCTACCACAGCAAAAAGTGTCAAGTCTTTGACACTATAAAATTAACAGATGTATGAAGACTAACTGATGTATGATAGCATAGGTTTTCATGGACTAAGCTCAATATATCAGACACATGAAAAGTTACCCTTGACTGGCAAATAAATAAAGGTCTGTATATATTGATAGAAGGGGCAGGAGCAGGGGAATCCACAGGGTCAAAAAAGTCAAGATTACAGCTTTGACCATGTGAGCCTTGCCCCTTTTTTCCATTCATAGTATGCATGATGCACATAAAAAAAGGAGCGGGGCTTCAGTCCCAGCTGCCATCTTGACGTTTTCAAGGTTAAGGAGAGATTCTTCTCAACCACGTAGGATGAAGATGAAAGGAGCAAAATGGGGCTGCTGAAAACCGCCTCTCCTTTTACCAATAGAGAACTTCATCACTGCCTGCATCATTGATGCAACCATCCTATGGCTGGGTTTGCATACCTTCTCAAAGTTCTAGATATTGCCATCAATTTTTACATGAATAAAGTGAAATAATAAATACACTAAAAATCACTACCAGACTAAGTCATCAACGATACTGTTGGATGATATTGATGGATAACTGTGGGTTCAATCTCCCTCAGTACTTGCTGGGGCTTTATTTCTTCTTTGCTTGGGCACACTGGCTGCTGATTTGTCCAGGCAAAGCAGGAATACAGTTCTTTAGAGAGGGAATAAGTCCTATCAGCTGTCACGTTTTGTGTATGCAGCCTTGGGACATTTTCTTCCAATCCTTCTCAAAATGAGGTGTCCAGAACTTGAGGTGAGCTCCACTATTTTCTTCTAATCAGGTACTGCTTGGAAACCATTTGGATGGCCTTGGGCTGCTGGGCCAATGTCCCTGTGGCCCTTGGAGGACACATCTTCCTGCTCCCTTTTGCCTAGCCCTACTGTGTGTCTGCTGCTGCCACCACCAGTAACAATGCCAGCCTCTGATAAAGCAGCACATATGAGAAACCTACTACTCTTTAAGTTGTAAAGGCCTTTAGTAGCTGCCAGAGGACTTCCTCAACCAACCAGTGGGGCATACATGAAAAAAGAAAGATATGAAGCATACTGTAGTTCTACTGGGTCTCCATCCACTTGTAAAAGGTGTACTTCCACTAGATGGCAAATCTTCCCCAATCCCCTCCAACCAAGGTGAGGAGGTCAAGGTGAACACCAGGTAGGCTGTCCCCAGAGCCTCAGACTCCTGTACGCAACACCAGCTGTTCCCACACCAGAAAGTATGGGAACTGATTTGGGCTCTGGTCCCCTCACCCCAAATAATTCCAGCTCTGCCCAGGCTAAGACCTTATTGTGAGTTTGGAGAATTGCCTTTGGCTGTTAAGCAAGGGTGTTCCTTCTCATAAGTCTTGAGGGCGACTAGCTTTTATTGTCACACGCTTGGCTCAAACAAGGTATGAGGCTAGCCTAAAAATCCGGATAGCTGTTGCAGAGGGAAGTCAGAGCCCCTCCAGCATTAGTTTGTCTCCAAGCCTGTCTCCATTTCCACTGCTGCTCCCAGTCAGGTAGATCAGATGCATGCTCCAGGCTGATGCTGTGCTGGGGCCTGCCAAGGCTTTTGTGTGGAGGTATTGCTCTGATCTCCTCCTGGACTTGGAGAAACCAGCACAGTCAGAACTCACTCTGAGCTTTGCTTCCTACTTTGTGCAATCCAGTGTGCCCCAACAACACTGGAGCATGCACACACCCTCCAAAAATTGGGACTCCCCTCAAAGTTCCTTGCTGTCTCCTATAGCTGTGAGCCAGTTTGTGAATCCCTGCATTAAGTCATAATATGGTTGGTCTGGCTTTGGTTTAACTCTGTCATTATGGTTAGTAAACCATGCTTTACTGTATCTTTCATGAACTCAGCCAGGGTGCCTTATTCAATAATTTATTGTTAAAGTAATCCTTGGCTTTGCACAATATGCAAGCAAATCAATATTTTTAGAATTATAACAAATAACAAACCCATAGTATTCTCAGATAATCACACTAGGAGAGCCCCCACTTAGTTGTGAGCATGGTTGGGTTTATACATTGTACCAAGCCATGATCTTTAGCCAGAGTTTGACTAGTTGGGTAAGTATATCATAGAACGATAAAATATGTCTTATTAACTACAGGGTTACGATCACAAATGATAATCAGCCCAAACCAAATTAACAGCAATAACACACCCATTTTCACTTAGTGAAAATACTGCTAATTTTTAATTATTGCTATTAATTTTAATTATTTAGTATGTAAATACAGTCACTTTATAGTGCAGACTGCAAAGTTTATAGAATATAATGGCTGTGTTCACACAGCACATTAACTTAAAATGAAGTTGGCTTGTTTGCATGCTGTGCAAATTCAAACAATTGGGATATTTCAGTGAATCATGGATTGGTGTATTGTCCAAAAGCCAGAGTTATGTTGTGAATTAACCTGCAGAGGGTTGCCCAGTTTTAACTCATTTTAATTACACTCTACTTGAAATTTAGACTGCCTTTATCCCACCACATGAGAACAGCTGCTTTAAAATATAAGAGAGTATAGTACAATACACGTTTTATTAAAATATTGTCTTCATTTCCAATCTACATTTTGCATATTCCACTATTACACATATCCTGTACTTCTTTTTGGAGTGAGCTTGAAGTCAAAGTCATGCAGCATCGGCCCCTAGAAAAACAGCCTGCTTTAGCATCTAGCACATTTAACACAGGTGGGAACAGAGGTACAGTGGTTCAGTGCATCACAGGACATTAGATTACAGGACAAGAACCAGCATGTGACATTCTTGCTGACCATTAAATCCACAAGATCTGTGCTTTCTTTCATACTGTAAATACCAAATACTGTATTTTATGGTAGCTCTGGTTCCATTTTTAATAAATCCAAACTCCTGCATTAAGTCATTCTGCTTCCAAAAGGATTTCACAGATTCAAACTGCTACTGCAGGTGTGTGTTTTCTCAAGAAAGGGGGGGGGGAGAGAAGAGATTTGAGAATCCCTCTTTTAATGTTTTCCCATCACAAGACTCAAAGCACCTAGAACTAGATAATGATTGCATCATCAGGATAGTGTATTAGAAGACATGATTTTATGAAAGACATAGAGGAATCACAATTTGAGGCAGACTTCCCCAGCCTAAGTGGCCTTCCAGTTATGTCAACTTCTACTCCTATCCTCCTCAGCCATTCCTGTAGGCCATCAAATTGAGGATGGCTGATCTGGGTTCTGATCCTTTTAGAGGTGAGGGTTATAAAATGGAGTCAGATATGCAGGCCGAAGGAAGGAAGGGAAGGCTCCCCCTCCTGTTGCTGCCACCAAGGGAAGGGAAGCTGCTGTTGGAAAGAGAAGATTGGCTGATGCATAAGATGGGAAAGTCTGGTAGGCCAAGGAGCTGGGCCCTGGTGGGCTTGGACTGCTGCTCCCTGCTGCTGGGGCCACAGCACTGTTGTTTCCCGGTTGCACCAGGCCATCAATCCCGGGGTTTTGTTTCTTCCACTTTGTCCTTCGGTTCTGAAACCAGATTTTGACCTGTGTCTCAGTCAGGCTGAGCGACAGAGCTAAGTTGAGGCGCTCACACACTGACAGGTATCGTGTAGCCCTGAACTTGTTCTCCAGAGCCACAAGCTGCTCATAGGTAAAAGCTGTCCTGGCTCGCCGAGGTTTGGCACAGCTGGGCTCCACTCGGCGCCGTTTGGACAATCTTGGCGAACTGGGTTCATCCAGATCTGAGGAGGAGGAGGGAGGGAAGTCAAGGGAGTGGAGTGAATCAGGTCTCCCCACCATTGTGATGTCGTTCCTCTGCTGGCCTGGCTCTTCTTGTTCTGATGCCTCTAGGATGGCTGCACCACTTTCTCCGGTACTGTTTACATCTACAAAACATAAAATGGCATTGATGAGGATGACATCAGAAGACTGACTACCAGTCCTGAACACATGGAGCCCTTGATCGCACCTGACTTGCCTAACTATTGTTTTCTCTGGAAGCTGATTCCCTCCAAATGCATGCATACATACAAGTGCAACATATGCTTTAAGTGGGGAGCCTTTCCTTTCCCTATTATATTTTTTGAAAGAATATACAAAACAGATGATGCAGATAAGAGGATCAAGTACAAGAAGAGAAATATGGGTGAAGGAGACTTCCGGTGGGGACAATGGTGGCTTAATCATCTCCTTGTGAGAGGGGAGACAGCACTGCTGGATCGGTGGCTGGCAGCGAGCGATGGCTGCCCAACTTGCTCCAGATTAAGGAAGAAGCAAGAAATCAACCCATTCAGTCTCCGAGACGGCCGGTCCTCGTAAGCTAATTGCAGAAACAGAAGCTGCAAGCAAGCAGCTGGGAGGCAGGGGATCCACCTTAATTCACAGCTCTGGTGCAGCCTACATATGGATACTAGAGCCAGCTGAACCCCATTTCTAAATCACTTTGAATTATAACTATTTTTCAGTGTAAGAGAGATCTTCCTTTGCAACAGAAGTAATTCACTATTTTTCATTATTTCTGGGACTATAATTTTAAAAGAATTAGAGTTTTATTGTAAATTGAACAATTTGCAAAAAGCTGGAAGATAAGGAGAATACAAAAAAGATATAGAAGTTAACTATGGTGAAAGGGGAAGATTTATTTGTTAAAAGTTTAATCTTATGAAATTCCATCTGTATTAATTGGATTTGATTTTTCTATTGGAAATTGTTTTGTTTTTCTGTGATATGCTTGTTGATTGGCTGGAATTTCACAACAGAAGAAGATAGTAATTTGAGCTCTCTGTGTATTTTTTGCTGGCATGTGCCTGCAATTACAGCTTGAAAAGCACCAAGGGGCATGAACTGTCTGCTTACTTTCTCTTATACAATATCTATGGTTGCTTGCTTTGGGGGAAAGGAAAAAAATGGCTAGAAGAGGCCCTTTGCAGCAGCAGTTAGAAGATAAAATGACTTCTTTAAGTTTACTCCAATCAATGTTTGATGAATTAGGAGCTAAATTCAAGTCCCTTAAAAAAAAATAGAGGAAAAATTGGATAAGATGGTTAATTTTGAAATGGAGGTGGAGTCTGACTTGAATGTGGATTTGGAGTTTTAAAAAATGCTGGATTAGGAAGGTGGTATGAACAAAGATGTTGTAGATTTGAAAATGGATTTAAAACTGCCAAAGGATAAGAGTGATATGGAAAAGGATGCCAGAAAAGATTTACAAATGAAAGCAACTGATGTCACAATGATCAAAGGGGACATACAAATAATGGAAGAGAAGAATAACTTGGAAACATTTTTTATCTTGGATTTGCAAAAGGAATGTGTTGAACCGGTGAGGCTGTTCGTGGGAAGAGACAAAGAGAAATTGCTGGGCTATTTCTGGGAGAAGACAAAGAGAGAATGATGGGTAATCAACTTGTGGGACACTATTTGAAAGGATTAAAGATTAAACTTCTTAAAAATAAATAGAAGGTTTACAAAGTGAATTTATTTGATTGTGGTTAATATATATGTTGAGGTTTTTGGTAGTTATTAATGGGATTATTTTGTGACCAGGATTGAATGAAGGGGTTCTAAGGATCTATGTATAAAGGGGGAGAAATTTCATTTGCTTTTTTTTTTCCTTAGAGAAAATGATAGATTGGATTACAAAATGGATTTATTTTTGACTAAGGTTAAAATATATTTGTTATTAAATTTATGGAATTTTGTTCTTCTATATGATAACAGCAGTAAGGTTTAAAATGTACAGAGGTAGAAGGATCTGATATTACCTACAGTGGAAGAATGCATGGTGAAGCTGATGGAGTTGTCTATGATGGTGAAATTGATGGCTTTGATTTGAGAAAAAACATTGTTTAACTTTAATGTTAATTGGAAACTTTTTTTGGACTTTCTGCAGGAAATAGAAAAAATGAAATTATATAGTATGGATTTGATTATTAGAAATAAAATGGGTTTGTAGTAATAATGAAAGTTATATTGCAAACTTAGAGCAAGAAATTGATGTATACTATTACTTATATGTTGTGAGGAGGGTCGAAAGTCCATTTTTTTTCCTTCCTTTATCTTTCTTTTTCTTTGTTTTTTCACACTTTTGACCTTGGTCATTCTTTTTTTCTGATTTTCTTTTCTTTTTCTTATTTTCTTCCTTTAATATTAATTTTTGTTAGTTTTTACTGTTTCTATTTTAAAATTTAATAGTTATTTAAAAAAATAAGAAAAAGAGAAATATGGGTGGCTAAGCAACAAATCTGAAATATTATAACATGAATATATTCCAATACATCTTTAGAAGCTGATCAGAGTCTTTTTCTAGGGCTCAGAAGTCCTAGGAACTTCTGCGGGAAGGAGGAAGAGGAGGAGGAGACATCAATCTGAAGAGTCAACATTAATTATGCACAGCTCAACCAATGCTTCTGAACATATGCAGAGCAAACTCAAGACTTGGCCAGTTCCCATATTAAGAAAAAGAAAGGGGCAGAGAGACTCCAGTAACTCAACTCTCTGCACCTCCCTGCACTATTTGATCCCCCCATCTCTCTCTCTCCCTCTCTCTCTCTCTCTCTCTCACACACACACACACACACATATCCTGTGGCAATGTGACTGAAATTTGAAAGTAAACTACACACAATTCATTTCATCCCAATACTTTCCTCAAACTATTTATTTTATGGGAGAGGAGGAACTTGTAAACTGACCTGAATCCATGTACTGTCGATTTCAATCAAGTTGTATGAACCCAACTTTATGTAAACCAACTTTCTTGGATGGGGGTTTCTGAATCTGAATGAAGGAGTGTTATTTGTTTAAGGCAAACTTACCATCCCATCAAAAATTGTGAAATACTAGGTAGTCTCTTCCAAACAGAATTATCCTTCAGAGAACCAAGGAAGCTAATTTGGGGAAAGTGGGAGCAATTTTTAACCATTTTTAAGTATTGATTGTTTAAAATGTTTTAAAAACTGAGTAAAGATTTTGGGTTGGCTTTTTCCCCCCTTGCAAGAAGAAGTGAATCGTCCTTCTTTGCCCCCGCCCTTCTTTTCCATCTCCTTTTTCTTCACCGAACTAATGGAGTTTCAGATTTGTGAAGGGGCGGATCGATAGATGTCATCTATTAAAGTTAAGTTTTAATCGAACAATATGAGGATCAGAGCGGGTCGGGAAAGAGATTTGAAGTTGGTACCTGCAAGCTGTGGGAAGGAGATACGCGGGAGTCGGTAATGGGATATCGATCAAGGGGGAGCGAAGGCATCCTCTTGTGGGGAGACCACAGGAACAATTATCTGGCTTGTCCTTTGCCGAGCGCATCTCGGTGCCAATCAGCCTCCGAGAGGCGCCTTCGCCTACAACCGGGGGCGCGGAGAGCTCAGCCGGAGGCAGCCTCGGCGCTCGCGAACCGGCTCGCTGCTCGCCTTTCTCCCGCAATCTCCTAAAGGAGGACGCGGCTCGCTCCGGGCCCTGCTCCATTCCCCGAGATGCAGGAAAGGGCTTTGCTCCGTAGGGCGGGGCGAGAGACCTCATTAGCGGCTGATTAGGCTGGGCGCTCAGCAGCAGCCCAACTGAGCAAACCAGATCGGGCCGGGGGCGCGACGCAGAGCAGAGCGGAAGAACGAGGCCTTTCGCTTCCAAGAGGAGCTGATGCTCAGCGCCGCGCTCCGCTTCGGAATCTCCGTTGGAGGAAAGCGCTGGTGCCTGAGCTGGCGAGCCAAACCTAAGCATGCCCCCTTTAAAAGACAGTCATTGAGATTGACCGGTTCTTATTTATTTATTACAGGGGAGCTTGCTCCCCGCCTAAAGTTTAGCCGCTGCCCACCGGGAGCAAATCCATAGTGCCGTCAAAAAGTCTCCCCTGTTGGATTACCGCCTGACAGGCTGTGATTCGCGGCAGAGCTGCCCCGCTTACCAACCACCACTGAGACGAGCTTCCAGTCCCCCCAGCCCCCCATCTTTTCTTAACTTCATCCAAGCCCTGCTTATATTTTCTTACGGAACCATCCGATTAAGGCAAGCAAATAACGCGCGTACTTCTGCCTCAGGCTTCCCCAACCGGGCGGCCTCCAGATGGGCGAGGGACCTCAGTTCCCATCGCCCCCAGTCAGCCCGGCTGGCTGCGAAGATGGGGTTTGTAGTCCGAGGCATTTGGGGACGCCGGGTTGGGAGAAGGCGGTGGTGTAATCCAAGGAACTGAATAGGCAAAGCAACTTGCCGTTCCCAAAGTGCGGCTGAGGAGGGACGAGGCAGCTGCTCGCGCTCCTTCAGCCCCCCGCCCACGGCCGGCTCCCATCCCCTGCGGCAGGCGGCGGCCACGGGGGTGCGCGCGCC